TAGACACCTCTACAAACAGGACATACAAATGCCCAAGGGACATATGAAGAAATGCTCAACATTACTAATCATGAGAGAGGTGCAAATTAAAACAACAATGATGTATCACCTCACACCTGTCAGAATGGCTGCCATCAACAAATCATCAAACAAGTGTTGGCAAGGGTGTGGAGAAAAGGGGACTCTAGTATACTGCTGGTGGGAATGTAGACTGGTGCAGCTGCTATGGAAAACAATATGATGTTACCTCAAAAAATTAAAAATTGAATTGCCATTTGACTTAGTGATCCCACTTCTAGAAATATACACTAAGAAGTCTGAAACATCAATCAGAAAAATATATGTACCCCCACATTCATAGCAGCACTATTTACAATAGCTAAGATCTGGAAACAGCCCAAGTGTCCATCAGCAGATGAATGGATAAAAATGCAGTGGTACATATACACAATGGAGTACTATGCAGCTGTAAGAAAGAAAGATTTATTTTCCTTTTGGACAACATGGAAGGGCCTGGAGAGTATTATCCTAAGTGAAACAAGCCAAGCAGAGAGAGACAAATATCACATGATCTCACTTACTTGTGGAATATAATGAACATAACAGTCTGAGTAACAGGGTAGACTCAGAGACGTGGAAGTAGGGTACAGACTGACAACTCTCAGAAGAGGAGGTGGGAGAGAAAGATAAAGTACAGAACTTATATGCATGTATTCATAACCGATGGACAGGGACAACAAAGCTGGGGACAAGGTGGGGGGGATGGGGAGGAGGGTGTCAATGGGGATAAAAGGAGAATCATCTGTAGCAAAAATAAATTAATAATAAAAAAAATAAAGAACTTCGCTTCTTGTCTTAGCTTTGCTATTTATAGGCTCCATTACTTTAGTTCTCCTAACTTCTGAAAGAAGTCACTTCCTCATTGGTAAAACAAGGGTGTTAGATTAGATATTCTGCAAGGTAAAACCCTCAACTTAAAAAAATCTTATGCTTCTGCAAAAGTCAGAAGTGTGGCAGAAAATTCTTAGAAGCAATGGGAAGTAAAGGAGAATACAAATATTTCCAAACACATTGTGGACACATGAAACAAGCTGCTTCTTTACAAAAATGCTCACCTTCCCTCTTTTTTTTTCTTCTTCTTTCATATTGCATACCATGTGCCATGATGCATTGATATCTACTGCAATGTATTATATTCAGTTTAACAAATATTGTTTGAGCAATAATATGTACACAACTCAAAGTTCAGCTCATTATTCCACTATGGATTTGGGCGTTTTTAAGTAGCATGAATTTAGCACTTGTCTCCAAGGAAGGTGTACAAAGCAGAGTATGCGTCCGTGTTTATACTTTGGTCATGGATGATGTATACTAAATGGGATGTGTCAACAAAAACTTAAAAAATACATAGAGTAAGATGAAACATATTAGGAAAGTGACTATTAAAGGAGAAAACAGAAGAGTAATGGACAGAAATAGATTTGATACTTTTTCATCAACAAAGACTATGCTGCTTCACTGGATAGAAACCTTGTAATTGAGCTAAGATCTTTGGTTCCTTTTTGAAAGATTTGTTTGAATTTTACTAAGGTACCCCAAATTTGAATGTGTAGGACAGTTACAGAGTTCTGGTCTATTGTCCCATCTTTTGTTTAAACCCCTGCCCTTTGAAGAAAATATATTAAATCTTGTGATGTGTATTTTTGTTTGTTATGAAGTCAATGGTCTGCACAGGTCTCTTTGTGTTTTGTTTGGTCATGAAATCCTGATTTCCATGCAGAGTTAATACTACGTCTGCTCCTTCAAAGCTAAGCAAGCAAGGAATTGTTCCCGGATGAAATGGTGACATACATTTGCTTTAGGTTTCAGGAATATGCAAATATAAAATATCACCACAGAATTTTTTAATATGGACCAATTTTCAAGAAATTATTTAAATGTGTAGGATGGAGGCAACTCATGAATTTACATGAGTTTATCTTTGGTACTTCTGCTGTATCCCTTCCTTGTATCTGTCTTAATTCTCTTCGTCCTATGTGATTTCTCCTCTCGGGCATCCAGCATGCTTGTTCTCACTGTTCTGCATGTACATCAAACCTACTATCAGAAATATTTTCATAGCAGCTCTTTATAGCTTAGTGTGAATTTAGGCCAGTGGATTTTCTCTCCCAGGGATATATGCATTGTAAACCTAACAGAAGAGGGAAAGTCCTTCCTAATGGAATATCAGCAGGGACTTTCCAGTACCTTTAAGACACCAGAAACTATAGCCCCTTTAGCCTCAAACTTGGGTTGGACCTGGGCATATGCACCTGGGCATATATTAGCACTAATCACACTATGCCCTCTAGTTACATTAAGTCCAGTGGCTCAAGTAAATAGGAGAGTGGGTGCTAACACCCAAATTCTAACAAAATTTGAGTAAAATAATTCATTTGTAAAGTTAGAGACACTTTTCTTTTCTTTGTTTTCTGTTTATTCCTATTTTTTAATTTATCTTGTCTGCCTGCCTTATTAGACTGGAGCCCTTCCAGGATAGGTACCACATCTTACTCAACTCTGGATCTCTAGGCCCAGCACAGTGTCTAGCTCACTGAAAACCTTTCCAGACAAATAATTAGATCCCATCAGTTCAAATCTGCCAAGAGCTGTGTTTCTCTAAAAGGACATGCCCAGTTCTCCTACCCCAAGGATCTTTTCCTCTAATCTCATGGTATACCAAAAGTGAAGGAAAAGCTAAACCAGCCTGCCACAGGACAAACTTCACTCTATCCAAAACAATTGTTAGGGTATTTTAGAGCCTGTAATATGCTACAGTTGGAAGCAGAGATAGAAAAATTGCCTCTGGATCTAGGTCGGGGGAACATCATATTCTTCTTGGATCTAGAATAGAAAGGCCTTCATGGAACAAAAGAACAAAAATCACTGGTTTTATTTCAGCAGTGCAAGATGCCAGGTATTTACTAGAGCAAATGCCACCCAAAGCCCAAAGGGTTAGCTGGAACAGCTGATGCCCTGTGCTGCTTTTTATAACCCTTCTTCCCTTTACCACGCTCTACATATGTCCCATTTCATCAGGTCACATCAACTTAGGTTGTCTCAATACTGCATCTTACACAAAATGAATCGCCATGTGAAATATTCTGTTTCCTTAAAAATGTTTATAAAAATAAAAATAAAGTTATTTAAAATAAGGGAATTTCCTGATTCTTTGAGTAAGCAATGGCTTTGCTACTTTTACAAATAAGTAGCCTTTTTTTTGTTCCACAAGACATTGGGGCTGTCAGCCATCAGCAAGCTGTGAAATTACTAGGTTAAGAATGGAATATACAGTACAGACCTAAATTGTATATAGAGTTGTGAAATGAGGTTTTAATGGTGGTAAGTCTGTCGACATGTAAAAATTATTCACGGACACTAGCTGTCCACTTTTTGGTGGTAATAATATTGGAGAAAAAGGAAGAATTTTATAAAAGATCTTTAAAATATAAATATTTATTCAATTTATTAAATATCTCTAACATACAATATATTATCTAGGGCCTTTGGGAGGGGTTACAGAAGATGTGAAATCCAAATATATTGGCTATAAAGAGCTTACTAAATAGAAAGGATGTTAACTTTAAAATACAGACAGCCATCATTTTAGTTATTGATCACACACATCCTCTGTGTCATGTATTGTGGCAAGTATTTTTTTAAATATGTTTTTTATTGATTTTTAGAGAGAAAGGAAGGGAGAGAGAGACTGAAACATCGATTGGAGAGAGAAACATCTATCGGTTACCTCTCATATACACCCAACTGGGGATTGAACCCACAGCCTGGGCACGTGTCCTGACCAGGAATTGAACAGGTGACCTCTCAGAGCACAAGACAATGCTCAATCAACTGAGCCACATCATCCAGGGTGGTGGCAAGTATTTTTATTAGGGATCAGCAAATTATGGCCAAAGGGTCAAATCTAGTCCACCACTTGTTTTTGTACATGAAGTTTTATTAAAATGCAGCAACACCCAATTGTTTGAGTATTGTCTATGGCTGCTTTTGTGCTACAATGGCGCAGTTGAGTAGTTGTGACAGAGCTGAGACAGTCTGGCCTGCAAAGCTAAAATACTTACTGTCTGGCCCTTTATAAAAGAATAGTTGCTCTATATCATCCAGGCTCACAAGAATACTCAGAAATAAATATGGTGTTTCCCATTTTACTGTTAAGGTACCTGAGGGTAATAGGTTATGTTACTTAGTAAGTGGCAAAGCTTGGGTTTGATTTTAGATTTGTTGTATTCCAAAAATCCATGTTCTTGTGCTTTATTTATGTATAGAAATAGCCAAAATCTGAGGCAGGAAGAAATAAGAACTTTACAGATTCACAGAGAAACTGTTACTAGAATTCACAAAAGAGATTATTTTGAGCCTGGATAAAGATTCTGGAGATTATATTCAAATATAAAGGCTAAAATGGATCTTAGGAATTGTCTATGTCAAACTCAAGCCCAAGAAAAGTTCAGAAATCAAGTTTACATGTTTAGTTAGAAGCAGAGCTGGGATTAGAACCAGTTTTACACACACCCAGCCCAAAGTATGCTGTCAGTGACCATAGTGAGCAGTTGAATTTCTGTGTGTGTGTGTGTTGGAGGAGGGTTAAATATTATAGAATGATAGAATTATTTGAAATGAGACTTTTACATTATGTTCAATTGTAATCAAAGTAAAGGGCCTCTACTTCCTTTACTGAATCAATCAATAACACATTTGTACAGATTATTACACAATACCATCACCATTCACCATCCTATCAAATATACATATATATTTGTAGAGAGGCACACTTCTGAGACCATAAGAACCTTTGGTACTCTCACCAACTTTAAGTTTCAAAGGATAAACAAAAGACCATTAGAGTCAAATAGTCACACACATCTTGCCATTTTGACTTAGGCAGCTCTAGACCAGGAGAAAAATGGGGAAGTGAACAGATGTAGTCAAAGGAAGCTTACCTGATACTGTAAAGCACTTTGCCATTTTTTGAAATCCGAAGCAATTTGTTGTCGGTGGTGACATCGTGGAAGTTGGCACCCTTCTCATTGGCAAAGAACAAATCTGGTTTCCAAATAGAGTCCAGCATTGATGGGTCCAAGTCTAGGGAATCATCAGGGTACTCGCTATATGCCAACCGTGAATCATTCCACTGTTGTCTCAGAAAAATGTTCACTCGGTAATCCTACAGAAACGCCATGGAAAGGAGTTACTTATTGCCTATTCTAGCATACGAGGTCCATCTACATTTCTCCCTCACTCTTCTCCCTGATTTGGTGCAGTGTTGGTTTCTGAGTAAAGCAGGCTGTGTATACTTTGGTCAAAAATAAACCACTTAGTTCTATTAGGAGTAGGAACAGAGGGAACAAAGTAAGAAAACCCAGTTAAAGCAGGTTGTCTTGGTTGAATTTTTTATGTTTAAATTATTCATTCTGGGAGGAAATAATATCAACTCAAACTGATTTTGCTACAGAAAAAAATGTAACAATGAATACAGAAGTCAGTCTGTAATTGCAGATTGTCAAATGAAACTGATTTATTTTCCAAATCAGAAATGACATGATCTCTTTCCTTATTCTGCTCAGATGCTATGGGTAGAAGCAAAGCCACTCTGTGCTTTTGGTAGTGAAAATCTTATTATAAAACTCTTACATGATGGGGCAATATTTTTTTTAATTCATCAACATAAATATTTATTAAGATGCTTCATGTTGACAAGATAATTTCCTCAGAACCACTTATGTTTGAAATTCTTAAATATTTTATCATTTCTGTGAATGGGTTGTATCTACAGTAGCCAACTTGATGTTTCCTCAAAACAGATAATTTTCATGCTCTTCTCACCTGAGCACCTTCTGACAAAGGTGTTCCTCCCTGTGGGAGCCTCAGGTATACCCTGTTATTCCCACTTGGTCTGGGAATGTACCTTCTGTGCTAATGAATCAGCTTGGAGCAGTGACTGCTCTCCTGGAGACTTCTACTCAAAGATCTTTAGGTTCATGGAAACTATTTCTTTGCTTGATAGAGTGGACCCTGGTAGAGGTTTCAATAGTATTCGTTAGTCAAGTGGGACAATGATTTAGAGCTAATAGTTGTCCATTCCTGCCACTTGTGACCATTTAGTGTGATATACACTCATTCCTTCTTACTTTCTTTCCTTTACCTTTTTTACTCTCATTTGCTCTATTTTTATATCTTTGGTACCTGGGCTTTTGAGCATTGTTCACATTCTTCTAGTAGTGACCAACTTGTCCTAGTTTTCCTGAGAATATCCCAGTTTAAGCCCCCAAATTCACACATTCAGTCCCAGGCAAAATTGGGTCTACCAGGTATAATAGTGTGACCACCTCAGGATGGTCAGTTTTGATTAATTACTCTTAGGGCCAAAAGAAAAAAATGATTAAGTTATAAAGATCAGGCAGTATAGAAAAGAGTTTCAATTCAGTTCCTTCTACCTATTACTAAACTATCCAAATTCCTATGACTTCTTTTCAAATACAGCCATCCAGATATCAGGCTGATAGAGTATTTTGAAGGTGGCAGTTTTAAGAATGAGTGCCCAATGTAGTCAGCCTAAAGAATGCTAATAACCAAATAGTTACTAACTTCTAAAAATTAGTCATCAAAACCCAGCTCATGGGGAAAGGCTGAAATATTTTTTTTAAATAACCTTATGTTTCTCAATTGTACAAACTAAGGAATTTCTGACTTGGAAAATTTTATCAGCTGACTTTTATTTGAGATTATACTAGTCCTGCACAGCAAATGTTCATTCCTAAGAGAATACTGTTGTGGGCCCAGCCATATCTTCAACTCATCCTATGTGTTCACTGTGTATGCACCCCACCCTTGCCAATGATTGAACCAAAGGAATGGCAGAATCTCAAAGTTTTTATCACATATTTTAGAATTGTCCAAAGGGACCAGAAGATTGTAACTAGAAAGAGGTGACCAGGTCTATGCTTCATTGGCAATAGGAGTTACTGGAGCTTTGGAGTTTTGTATAAATAAAGAGTGGAAAGTGTGATTTGTGGAAAATCAAAAAGGGGGCTATTGAAAATGTAATAATTCAATATAAGTATGCACTAGATACATCCACTGTGAGATCTTTTAAGGTTTCCTGAGAGAAAAATGAAGCTTCTCTAGTGTTTGACATCTACCCCTTTTATTTCCCTTCACGTGCGAACCAGTTATCCATAACAATTTTTTTTTTTTGGCATGGGGTCTATGAGCTTGTTTCAGTGGGAAGCAGGAGAGAAGATGATCTCACCCCTTAACCAGTTCTGGAAGTAGAGAAACTCTAAGTACGGGAACATAATGACAGCTGGAAATAACAGAAGTGAATGAGTTAAATATTTTAGGTCTTGGGGAGGCCCACAAGGGACCTCCAGGAAGTAATCATAGGATGGGAGAGAACATAAGAAGCCAGATAGAGAGTATGGGGCAGCAAAATCACCAAGAGAAGTCCTTGAAATCCTCCCTCCCTGGAACCTGAGGATGATGTAAAGATGCACAGTGAATGACTCTAGAGAATATTACATTAATTACATACAATATGAAAACATTGACCTTTAAAAATTTTCAATATAAATTTTCACAGATAATGTACATCTTTTTAAAAAGTCTTTTCCACAATATTCTTCAGTGTTTCCTGGTTTTGTTTTGTTTTGTTTTGTTTTAAATTTTATATATGGAGAAAATAATAAAATATATTCTCTCAGTATTAGAACTTTAAAAAGATCGCTAAATCTATTATGTCACAGTAAAACCATAAAATGTCTAACAGTTACTTTAAAATAAATTAATCCTTCTATTTATAAACAAAGATAAGTGAGAAAATGTATTTTATGCCACAATTATAGGAATGATGTGAAATAAATCCTTTATTGGATCTTTTGGAAATGTTTGTTCTTTATAATATATAGTAATTAAAATGTTCCATAATTTTGTTTATGATGACGTACACTATTCTAAAATAAATAGCAATGCTTAGAACCTGTAGAATATAAAAGGACACTCAAGGATTTAGAGAAGTAGATAGCCAAAGAAAAGGTTTTCTGGGGTTGTGGCTCTGTAATATTTTCAGTTTTCTATCATTGTAAATGTAAGGTAGACATTTGCCATGTATGATTTGTCTGTGCATCATCTCTGTTTATTTAGAGCTAGGTTTATTCTCTCATGATATTTCAAGCCACAGGAGATAGTTATATTGTTCTGTAGTCTTTCTTTGTCTTTATTTTTGCTTCTAGGTTTAATGAAATATTAAAAGGGAGGCAAATATTGAGAGACATGATTAAATGCACTCTGAATTTTCTTTTACATTGTCATCTCTCTCTAGAGACATATTCTACTTCAAATAAATATTTCCTTGCATTAAAATTTGTTTTTCTATGATTGACTGTCTGGATATTGAGGTAGGTAATGGAAACATTTAAATTAAAATACACACACACACACACACACACACACACACGTGTGTATGTATAAATGCATACACATCTTATTTTTGCAAAAGCTATGTATAAGTCTTATCATATCTATTATATTCTTAACACAGGTAATACAAATATTACCTTAACACAGGTAATACAAATATTCCATCCTATATTCCATACTGTTGTTTCTTATAAAATTGAGAATTTCTAAAATTTCACTTTTTCTGGTAATTTCTAATATGATACCTATGCCATGAAGATTGTTTTCTTAAATTGAATTATTTTGATACTATTATATTTAGTCTGGCATTTGTACATAGAGGGTGCCACTCTGCCTTATGCATATTCTTATTAAACATCAGTTACTCTTTTAATGCATATATTTAATCCAATTATATTATGGTGTTATCTAAGGCATGGGTATGCTTTGTAGATTCCCCATAGTGCCTAGGTGGCACTTTGGTTTTAACCACTGGCTGCACAACGATACAGTTTTCATCATCTTGAGTCTGTGCTGGCCTTGATATAGGAAGTTAGCCTTGAATTTAAAATTAGGGGGCAGTAGTTACTTTATGATGAATGTAGGCTTTAACATTGTATTGGCAATTTAGAGACTAAGGTCACCTTGTATCTCAATTTAACAAAATGCCAGGCTTGTGGTAGATTCTTAGTTCTTCCTTTAAAAACTCAGAAATAAGAAACTTAGTTACCTGCTATTCCTGATAAGTTAGCATCTCCTTATGAATTGCCTATACAGCTTTAGAATGAAAGGGAGCTCATAGTGTCATTTCAGCAGTTACAACACAGCATGAGTTCTTATAAGGAGCTGTCTATGTCTTATCCAGTTCCCCAGGAACATGATTTTAAATCGGAGATAAAACAACTCTTTACCCTGCAGGAGTAATCAGCAGAGCATGTGAAATTTATCCTCTGGGGCAGAGTTTTGGGGAGCCAAGATCATATTCTGAAGTTACTCTCTGAGTGGACACATTTTGCACACTTTCAGCTCTTGCTCCTCCCCTTCCCCAAATCTGTTAAATGAGAAGGGTGTCAGGATTCGATGCTGTGGCGTTGAGTAGTGTTCTAGCACCCATAGGTCCAAATCACACTCTATCTACCCACATCCTTCCAGATAGTCATTCTGAAGCTTTGAGACTATCTCTTTTTTCATTTTCTGATGGCCTATCCCTGGAGAGAGTTGCATGCAAATGGCATGAAAATACTTTTGACCTTTACTGACATTATTAATATTCCCAAACAATGCCTTTAAATCAGGAAAGAGGGGTTTGCAAATACATTCCCCATCCTGTAAATTCACTTGCCATCAGCAGCTAAAGAAAAGGAAGAAAGAAAGAAAAGAAAATGGTAAACTGACATTCCAAAACCAATATATAACCTGTCTCATTATACATCCCTTACTTGTCTTTTGGAACCACACACACACACACACACACACACACACACACACATGTTCTACTGAATACTTTTAACACAGGGTCAATTAGCAATGGCCATCAACAGATTATTGTGGCTCTTAATGAAAAAAAAAATTGTATTTTGGAATAATGTATGTCATCATAATTATCCATAAAATATTCCTTATAATAACACAAATATGTTGCTCTGTGAACACGCATCTTCAACTCTAAAATATCAGAGGAGTGAGTTAGAGGTCATATTGGGTCTGTAAGCAAGCCTATACTTTGTGGGCAGGTAGTATCAACAATTATTTGGCATTCCATCAAACATATTATGGAATTTCATCAAACATAAGAGATAAGACTGGATAGCACCAAAAGAAAGTCATATCAAGTTTTTAAAAAAACAATCATTGCTTCTTATTTAGAAACAAACACCTAAACTTAATCTGACAATAGTGCTATCAGGGTTGTGGGGTAAGAGTGGCACATGGGAGACAGGAAAATCATGTTTAGAAACTCAAAATTGTGAGGTTTTCTTTTTTTTTAATCCTCACGGGAGGACATTTTTCGATATTTTGTTCAGATAGAGAGAGAGGAAGAGAGAGAGAGAGAGAGAAGCATCGATGTGAAAGGGACACATCGAGTGGCTGCCACCCACACAACCAACCAGGGCCGGCGACAAACTGCAACCGAGGTACATGCCCTTAGCGGGAACCAAACCCAGGTCTCTCTGGACCGCAGGCTGATGCTCTAACTGCTGAGCCAAACCAGCCAGGGCCTGAGGTATTCTTATAACAATTTATTCTTGTAAAAATTTATTCCAGAAAATTTGTCCCCCCAAATAACACTAATCAGTGTCCTCATTGATCACATCCATTACTGTGCTTGAAACTAAGGGTCTGATGTTCTCACTCCAATTAAAGACAATTCAGGGAAGAATCTGGTTCTGTTTAACATTTTTGACCAATTTATTTAAGTTGAATTTTATGAAAGTGTGGGTAAATTCATGCATGGTAGAATCTCAGGGTTTTGATAAAGGAAGCTCAAGTTGTGATGACACTGTAGAAACATCAGGTATATTCCCAGGCAGGGCCTTAGGGATGTGGGAAGATAAGACCCTTTCAAGGTGGAGCAATTCACACATTCTTATGAGCATCTGAATATTTAAATATTGATGCCTTAGATCCAGGATTGACAAACTATGACCTCTATGGGCCAAATTTGGCCACAGCCTGTTTTTGTAAGTAAAAATTGTGGAGTACAGCCACACCTATTTGCTTACTATTGTTTATGACTGCTTTCATTCCAAAAGGGCAGAATTGAGTTGTGACAGAGACTGTCTGGCCCTCAAAGTCTTAAATATTTATGAAATGACCTTTTACAGAAAAAATAATAATTTTGCCAGTCCCTACCTTACATGGCACGAGGATTTATTCTTGATTTAAGCATGATAGAGTTTCAAAAAATATTTTTTTAGCTTCATACAAAAACCATATGAAATAAAATAAAGTGACTTTTTAAAAACCAAATAGAGTTTGTCATTACATCAAAAGCTAAGAAATAAAATAGAAGCATAATACACATCACTCTTCTGACCATGCAATTCAATGTATCTCATATAGCAGAATAGGCAGGCCATTGATACTACACTTGAGCAATGATTTCTGAATTTTCTCAGAGGAAATGTGACAAACAACACTGTAATAAGTGACCAGAAAGCACCGAAGCAGCCAATTTATTGAACATGTACAGTAGCTGTTAAAGACACAGGAAAACAAGGGTATCTGTAGTTTCCATTTTCATATCCTTAAATATTAAGCTTTTTCTTGCATTAATGAACATCGAAAAGGTGAACATTTACATTTCTGATTGAGGGTAAAATGCAATGAGGAGATTTAATCAAAGCAACTTAGGAGACTAATGAATGCAATTAGCATTAGGTCGTGCAAATATTGTCATTGAATGCCATTGTGTGAAGCTGGTGACAGTGATTTGGGCTGCTGGAAGATTTATCAGGATAAAACCAAGAGAGGAGAGACAGAAACTGAATGCCAAGCTCAGGGTTTCATTATTCTTTCCATGTTCACCTTTTCTTATGAGTCATTTAATAACCCTATTAAAACTATCTTACTTGGGTAAAATTATTTATGTACTACATCCTGTCAAAGCTCATAATTCTCATTTCTGGACAGTGCTGTGCCAGAGTAATATTAGTGGGGTTGATTTTACCTAATTTTCCCAGTGAAAAGAAATGGGAAAAGAAATTATTCTTTCTAGCATCAAGGATACTGAAAAGTACAATAATTTGTTAGACATGGTCCTAGTAGCCTGAAAAAGAAAATTCATAAAAACAAGGGAACACTACTTTTTTACATCTCAGTGGCATTATGCTCACTTTATTTCTTGAGTATTTCTAGTACATCAGCCATCATAGTACTTGGTCAAGCTCAACTGTGTTTTATTTTTATCTCATCCAATAATGTGGTTGTATGCTTTACATAGTCATGAAAATTAGAACCAGCCAATTGACTTAGGACATAAAATAAATTGTATGGGGACCAAGAAAATATTTCACTCAAAATGCAATCTCCACACTATAGCCTAGCACTATAAGGCTACTGGTTGAATAAGCTGTGTCAAGGCAACACTATAACCATGATATCTAAAAGAAGTCTGGTGAATTTTGTAGTATCTAAAATCTTTTTCATGTATATGAAACATGTTTGAATGTACATTATGATGAGCTTTTAATAGTTTTATGTTTGTTATTCTTTTTGAAAAAGCCATTTATGTAATATAATTGCTGTAGACTCAGGACTACCTTCTGTTGCCAACAAAATTGTGTGTGTGTGTGTGTGTGTGTGTGTGTGTGTGTGGTGCACATGGGTGTGTTTATTGTAAAGTCAGCCTCTTAGGATATATCTTAAATGTTGCATATATGAGCCTTTAGTTTGTTAAAACTTACATTATATGAAAAAAATAGCTGTAAAATTATTTACCAAATTTTGAAACTTATATTTCTGAAATATTGGAGATGCAAATATTTAAATATCCTTAACTATCCACCATGCTTATTACTGATAATTTTACCTACATCTAACTAAACATCAAGTGTTTCCAAAATTTCTTTGGCATGATGAATAAAAGATTACTGAATTTTAAGTAATAAACACTTGACTAATGACTTTCTAAAGTGAAAGAGTATAAATGCTTGCTTTCTAGAGGTGAGTGAACTTGGAAATTGGCACTCAGTAAATGTCCCACAAATATACAATGGTGCTCTTCAGTCCCATATCCCATTCCTTCACACCATGGCTTCAATGTTCAGTCCCACTCACCATTGTAGTTTCTGCTACTGACCCAAAGCTGTTGATAAATATGTTGCAGGTAACATTTACAGGAGGCCCTGCAAGTTGAACAATAAATAGAAAATTTGACAGGTTGTGTTCATGGCATAATCAAGTCAAGTTTTTCTCTTGCCAGTGGCATTGTAGCACTTACCATGGTGGTTTCTGTGACTGATCCAAAACTGTTGATAAAAATATTGCAAGTAACGTTTACTGGAGGACCTGCAGAACGCAATAAGAATATTGCAATAGACATTGAAGCAAAAATACAGCTTCATCAACATCTGCGCAAATGACTAGAGATGGAAACAAAATTAAAATGATGGTGAGATTGCAAAAAAAAAAAATGTTTTTCCACTAGCATTTCAAATAATGACAGTTAAGCAATGATAACTTGCTCTGATGAATTTTGGACTTGGAAAATATAAGCTGAAGACCATTAAACTGAATTCATTGTCAGAGTTGCTATCAAATTAGCCTTTTGGGTAGGTGAATTTTTATGACCTTAAACTCAACAATACTGGAGATGTCAATAGTGGGCACCCCTTGGTGATAAAGAAAGTCTGGGCGATGGGTTTAAATGGAGCTGCAGTTTGAACTGTGCATGGGTCAGGATTCACCTCCTTTCACACGACACCCTTTAAATCAGTAGGTCTAGTTTGATTTTCTTGATGCCTCTGAATTTACCCAATTTTTTTATAATCCTTAAAATCTCCCGCAACAAAAAGTGATGTACAGAAACACAAAAACGAAGAAAATTTAGCTCATTTTAGGGAAAAAAAAAAAAGGCACAGAGATGTCAGTTCATGTCCAGATTGTTGCCTCAGTAAATGCAATGTAAAGCAAGGGTTTGTTTATTTATTTATTTATTTAATTTATTTTTGTCACAAATGTCCCTCCTTTTTCCCCATTGACACCCCCCTTCCCACAAGGATTTATTAATGCTAGATGTGCTTTGAACAAAGAGCCTATTTTTTCTTCAGAGACCCAGGGACTAGCTCTTTTCTCTTGCCCTTTGGGTTTCATCCAAGCACTAACCTGGCCAGACTCTGCTTAGCTTCAGGGATCAGATGAGATCAGGTGTGTTCAGAAGGGTATGGACATAGATTCTTTGCTCTTTGACAATAGATAAATCACTCTCTGATGATCTTCAGCTTCATATTTTGCTGAGGAATATGTTTATTGCCCACATGGAGTTTCCCCCTGATGCTTTCTGAGATAAGAACATATTGCCATGAACCATATTTCCTGGTGGAAGTTGTCTGTCTTCACTCAAAAGAGGCTCAGTAACCTGATGCAAGCTACACTCAGTTGGCTGTCTGTACCTAATTAGGTAGTAAGATCTGAATTGAAGAGTTCGTCTTGAGGCCTCCCTCAAAGGCTTGTAGTGAAACACAGCTGTGGTGGCAGTTGAGCACCATGCCTTTTATTTTATTTTTCTTTATTGATTTTAGAGAGAGGAAGGGAGAGGGAGAGAGAGAGATATAAACATCTATGAGAGAGAACATCGATTGGCTGCCTCCTGCATGCCCCCTACTGGGGATCAGGCCCACAACCTGGGCATGTACCCTGACCAGGAATTGAACTGGAGACCTCTTGGTGTATGGGTCAATGCTCAACCAGTGGGCTACACCGGCTGGGTGAGCACCATGCCTTTAAACTCTACAGGTCCATTTTGGATTCTCAAAATGAGGAAAGGAAACTTGGGCTAAACAGTTAATTTTACTCTCCAGGCATGGACAAAAGAAGGAGTAAGGCGTTTTGGTAAAAGAGATGTGTTAAGCTGTTTTTCTTTTTAGCATAACTATTTTTTCCAATTAAAAAATGTTTCTTTTTTAAAAATATGTTTTTATTAATTTTTTTTTTTTTAGAGAGAGAGAAACATCGATGAGAGATAGAACATTGATTGGCCACCTCCTGCATGCTCTTTACTGGGGATCAAGCCCATAACCTGGGCATGTGCCCTGACCAGGAATCAAACCAGGACCTCTCAGTTCATGGGACAACACTCAATCATCCACAGAGCCACCTCAGCCGGGCCAAAAAAATATGTTTCTTTAGGAAAAAAAAAAAGTTTGCAGACGTGGAATCACAGGCACCACCATATTACAAAAATTTTTTTTTCAGCCTCCAGGTCTTATAGTTTATCCCCTTCCCTCTTATTTCAGCATCTGCCAAGATGAGTTCTCCATGGTTACTTTCTACTCGATTTTGTTTTTGTTTTGTGGTTGCTCAAAACCCCAAAAAATAAAAATGAGTCTTTCTTGACCATAAAATTTTATTCTATAGCCATGATTTTTTCTGCTAATAAGAAATAAATTATACACAGTAGAGACAAGTCATGAGAAATTGGGATGTTTGCTTTTTTTATTCTTTTTACAATAAAATATTCTCTTTTAGATAGTCTAATTCAGGATGGAAAACTTTCATGAATTTTTATATGCAAGATATATAAAAAATGAATGATAGAGAAAAGAAACAGGAAAATAAAAAATATCATCTTAGTAGGCAAATTATCTTGTACTATACAGTGTCTGTTTGTCTGGCCTCCACAACTGACTTGGAAGCATTTAGAGAGCTGGGTCATACCATCATACATTTGTTTTTATCCTTCCCAGTAAATGGCATTGTAAGTATATTGCTGGAACTCATACCATTTTTAAAGTTACTATGTACTGACACGTTGTACTAAGTATACTAAACAATATCAAGTTAATCCTTAAAAAAGAGGAATTGTTTTACTGCTCCAGTAAATGTTTTCAAATGAGGGAACTAGGGGTTACAGAGGTTAAGAAACTGGCTTGAAGTCATGCTACAGTAATTAGAAGAGCATAGATTCAGTGTCTCATCATTCTGATCCCCAAAACCTAAATTTTCAACCACCTTGCTGCCCTGCATTCATTGCACACTATCTTCTTTCTATTCTGATCCACCAATCCTGGTATCTTCCATTGGTTTGAACATTTTGGGGATAATTTTATTACTTGCATCTGACCTCCTCAATCTTGAGCATTGTCTCAAGGTTTATTTGCATTTAGATATAAAACCAAGAGAAGAAAGTAACCTTTTTTTAAATGAGGGATTAGCATATGCATATAATAAGAGCTAACACATATTAAAACCTCGCTGTGTGCCAATAAGTTCTTTATTTCGTTCTTCACCAGTTAGGTGCTACCATGTCCCCCATCTGATAGATAAGGACAATAAGGTACAATGGCGGTTAATTAATTTTTCCAAGACCACAGAGTTTGTAAGAGGCAGAAATTGCCTAACCTTAGGAACACTTTTTTTTTAAACTACAGGAGTAAAATGTCTGAGGCCAATAGAATTATCCCAATTATAGAAGCTACAAATCTTTCACCTCTTTGGTTTAATTTATTCTTGGGTATTTTATTCTTGTAGATGCTATTGTAAATGGAATTGTTTTCTTAATCTCCTTTTCAAATTGTTCATTACAGTTGTGTAAAAGCAATTGATTTTTGTATATTGATCTTAAATGCTGCAATTTTGCTAAATTCTTTTATCGGCTCTAATAGTTTTCTTTTGGATTATTTGGGGTTTTAAATATATAGGACCATGTCATCAGCAAATATAGTTTTACTTCTTCCTTTCAAATTTGGATGATTTTTATTCCTTTTTCTTGTCTAATTGCTCTGTATATAAGTTCCAAAACAATTTTGAAAGCAGCAGTGACAATAGACATCTTTATCTTGTTTCTGATCTTAGGGAGAAAGCTTTTAGTCTTTTACCATTGAGTCTGCTTTCTGTAGATGGCATATAGTTGGGTCATGTTGTTAGCTTTTAACTTTTCATAAATGCTCTTTATCATGTTGAAAAAGTCTCATTCTATTCCTAGTTTTGGAGTAGCTTTCTTCTCTCTGTTGTGAAAAGGTATTGGACTTTCTATTATTGTGGGATATTATTTGATTTTATTATATTGGACCACCTTTACATTCCTGGGATAAATCCCAGTTGGTCATGGTGTGTAATTCTTCTACTATGTTCTTGGATTTGGTTTTCTAACATTTTATTGAGGATTTTGCATCTATTTTTATAAAGGATATTGGTCTATGATTTTCTTTTTTTTAAAAAATATTTTAATTAATTTTTTAGAGAGCGAGGAAGGGAGAAAGAAACATCGATGTGACAGAAACATCAATCAGCTGGCTCCTGCATGCCCCCTACAGGGGATTGAGCCCATAACCCAGGCATGTGCCCTGACCAGGACCTCTCAGTCCATGAAATGACGCACAATCCATTGAGTTGCACCAGCTGGGCTATGTTTTTCTTTTCTTGTGATGTCTTTATCTGGCTTTGAAATCAGAGTGATGTTGACCTCATAGAATGAGTTGGGAAGTATTCTTTCCTCTTTTATTTCTTGGAAAAGCTTGAGAAGGATTTGTGCTAATTTTCATTTAAATGTTTGGAAGAATTCACCAGTGAAGCCATATGGTCCTGAATTTTTTATTATTGCAAGGTTTTTGGTTACTCATTCAATCTCTTTACCTGCTCCAAGTCTGTTAAAATTTTCCACTTTATCTTTAGTCAGTTGTTTAGGTAATTTATATGTTTCTAAGTATTTGTCCATTTAATCTAAGTTATCTAATTTGTTTATCATCTTCTTTTACAATTCTTTTTATTTCTTCTGTAAGATATGTAGTAATGTCTCCACTTTCATTTCTAATTTTAGTGAACATTAAGATGGGACAATTGAATTATTAAGTCTCTGTTTAGCTTTCCTTATTCTTTTTCCTTTATGCTCCTTAGACTCATTAGTTACATGAGGTCACCAATAAGATCATTAGCTGATTTCTCATTTTCATTGGCTTTCAACAATTTGATTATAAAGGTTCTCAGTATGAATCTCTTTGGGTTTTCCTATGTGGATTTCATTGATGTTGTTGGATTTGTAGATTTATGGATTTCCTCAAATTTGGGAAGCTCTTATTTCCACAAATACAGTATTCGAATATTCCTTCTACCTCTTTCTTTCTCTCGTCTCTTCCAATTGCCCCCATCTTCAAGTTCACTGATTCTTTCTTCTGCTTACTCAAATCTATTGTTGAACTCTTTTAATAATTTTTTTCATTTCTGTTATTTTAATTTTAAACTCCAAAATTTATTTTTGGTTATTTTAGATAATTTCTATCTCTTTATTGATATTCTCATTTTATTGATAGAT